CCGGCGGTTGGGCGGAAAGCAATAGTTGCGTATCGATTTTGCTGGCAAAAAAACGCCAGGGCGGTTGAGCTAGCGTCGCAAAGGCGAAAAACGCCGCGGTTCGGCGAAACGCCCGTCGATACGCATCAAAACTGTTTCGCCCAACCGCCTATCGATACTTATCGAAAGCTTATCGCCAAACCGCTTCTTTCCAGAGGAACGCTGGACCGCAGACTGTGAACAATGCCTGATTCCCTAGATACGGCGGAAACCATCAACCAGGCCATACCGCAGCTTACCGGATGTCGTTTTGCACTATGAAGCGTGGCGCCCGAACGATTGTCTCGCTACGCAGCCGCTTTCCATGGCACGGTCCCCGCAAGAGTTGACACCGTTCGGGAGGCTGGCCATGAGCTAGAGGTGCCTGCAAAGCGGCCAGAGAACGAACCAACAGCGCTGGCTAGGCGCACTGCTTACAGACATGAAAATAGGTGGCATCCACCCCCCCCCCTCCAAGTGTCCAATAATTGGGGTAATTGCCAAAGAAAAAAGAAAAATAATTGATGTATCGAAGCACTCTTGTCGCGTTACTGATGATCTCCCTGTGAAACGGTAAAAATCTGGAGCAAAAATCGCTGCAGAGCTCACGAAGCAATCTTATTCACCAATTTGGAACCTCTTGGTTGCTTCAGTACGCAAGTGGTCTTGTACACTACGAAACTGCGCGGCGCGGTGGATTGTAACGAGGATAAGTCCTGCCACGCCGAAGCGATGTTCCACGATCGGTCAGAAACGATCTGAATCGTTCATAGGAGAATCTAGATCGATAGCTAGTAAAACTTGGGTGGCAAGGATAAACTTGTTTCTTCAAAGAATACAGAAGGAGAACATTAGCAAAAGGAGATGGCAAAGGAAGTGGACGCTGGAGAAGAAGACTCAGGATTATGCCATTTCCTTCATACGAGACGCAAAAAGTACTTTCGCACAAAACATTTGGCGCACCACCCCCGAAGATCTCCTTCTCCCACCTAGGCCTAGGTAATCCTTATTCCTCTGGCTCACAATGGTTTCTTGGCACCTACCAAACTGAATGCCGCCCAATATGCGAAATTACGAAGAAAGCACGTAGAACCCAAGCTTCATGAAAAGTTTTTGTTATCAGCCGCGCAGCATCACGTCAGTATACAGAATGGAACTAGCGTGTAGCTTTACAGTTTGCGGGAATTCTCCAATATCCCTCCCGTTTTTAGGCGAAGTGCGCCGAATCGGTCCCAGGTTAGGTAACTTCTCAAGTGGAGAATATGGCAAAAATGGTAAGGCCGACAACATTACACCATTTTGAAGGACTTCTCTTCACGAGGCCTCATCAACATTTTCCATGAACCCAAATTCCCTCTCGAACTCAAGCTCTGAAAAAGAGAAATTCCAGGTTGGGAAGAACAGCGTTTACTCCTTCGAAAAGCAGGTATAGGTCACGGCCTCTGTCCAGGACATTCAAAGCTTGGAAGCTCGCATGGAGGGATAGCACAACATGGAGCCTGCTCAACTTTGGCGTTTCGAGCTCAATAATGGCAGTTTCAACCTGGACGACATGCGCCACTCTGGTCGATATTTTGATGGAACTGAGTGAGTCCACTGCACACACAAACGTTGAGGAAAAACAGTCTGATCGATAAGTTCTTAACATGATCCAGTTCTGCCAAGAAAACTTAGATCATTCAAAAATCCGAGGTCCGAAAATCCGAAATCATTAAAGGCGAAATCATCTCGCTCAATGGAGGAGCGCGGCCGCTTACCGCGATGGTCGTCAGGACCACCCTTTAGAGGGAAATGTAAGCCGAAGCAGCATCCTCTGTGGACTTTGTGTCAACGGAATAACACCTTTTTCGGTCGCTGTCGAATTAAGTGAAGGGCGTTGTCTGCAAGAACGGCAAAAATCTCTCTATGTTCCAAGAAGCCTGTCTTTCAGGAAAAATAGTTCTGGGAAGAAATTTTCAAATACTCTCGCAGACCAAGGAACACACTCCTACACGGCGCCTCATTAGCCTCATGGAAACTAGCGGTGAAACCAACCTTTCAAAAAAAAGTTAAGATCTTCCAATTTGATGATATCATATAATCTTCATTAAAATAAAAGATTATTGGTAACGGCTGCTAGCGAGATTCGTTGATCAACGACGCGACCGATGTTATGCTGATGGTGGTATTAAAAAATAATAATGGCAAAATTAAATACTGAAAAGTATGTTACAGTAAAAAAAAACTAGATAAATGACTGTTAAGGTGCGCAGGTATGATCCTGCAAACGATAGGGCGTATGACGCGGCAGGGACTGGAGCGCAGCCAGGGCTACCCTTTTCAACCAATGACGCCATCCTGTTCCCGCTGCGATTGGTGGGAAATCTGCCCTGGCTGCACTCCAAGCGACGCCACGGTCCTTCACACACCCTATCGTTTACAAGAATCATGGAAGATCAGCCACGGAATTGCTTTTATGGGGCTCATGTTTGAAAACTAAGACAGCACGATGTGCTGGAACACATTTAGTGTCGAGATTCTTCTGAGACTTTCTAATAAATAGAAGGCAAAATATTCCAGTGTTGTTAGAAATGAATGAATCTATCGCATCATAAACTTGTTGGCACGATAATGCCAAAAACGTACGTGGAATTGCCTTTCTCTCGGAACTCTTATAGTGGTAGCCATTCCTGTTGATTTGGTCACCACACCATAATCGGAACAACCCATTGAAGATCAAACGTTCAACATTATTCTGCTGAATCAGGGGTAGCACAAGTAGGTGTTACAAAACTGAAAATGAGTTTGTATTCTGGGAGTACGATGGAACGACGTGTCTAACAGAAAAGCAGAAGCGATACTACAAATTATGCGGTGTTGTATATATGCACTGAACTGATTAATCAAGTAAACGTAACAGGAAAACCCCATGGTTCAACGCAAAGCGCAGGATAATGGAAGAATTGGGAAGCATAAAAACCAAAATGTCGCTGACGGCTGCGGAGCGTGTCGATTGGAGCGCTTTAGCATCGGTCACGGCATTGATATAGGAAGAATTCGCAGATTTAATTTGGGCACAACAGAGCAAAAGATAATCGGATTATTGAAGATTTCGATTTGTGGATATTGCCTCATGAAGAAAAAAATTGAACTGTGCAATATTGCACAATAAAAGCTTCTGAATAGAAAAAAGCTCATTCCCTGCAAAAGCCAGTAATGATTTTTTTCCGAGCTTATAAAAAAATCAAGCTCATGTCGGAGCAAGCACGGAACAGTGAAAGGATTCACAAGATGATCGCCCACTCAACTTACGAACAAAATTAGTTGGATAGGCTACGCGGCGGCTCTACGCCGCGCCAACTTTAGTGATTCGCGCACTTTTAAGCATGAACCTGGGGCGGCAGGAGTAGTCATGGTCACCCTCAAACTTCACGACCCGCTACCACCACCTCAGTATACTTGTCAGCGGAGCCTCCTTCCTCCTCACTTTTTCCTTCCTCCATCTTTTTTCCTCCCTTCATTCTCTTATTCCTTTTCCTTCTCCCTTCGAATGCAATTAGGTGCAATTATGAAGTACCTCTAAACCCTCGCAGTGAGAGAATGTTTGGTTAACAGAACCCCTATAATCGTTTTACACACGCACATAGTGAATACTGAAGTTAGGAGAAGAAGGTGTTCTTCAAGAACATCCTCTATCCATTTTTAACACTAGTCAGGTCGATTCAAACTAAAGACACGCCAGCAGTTCCAGTACCTCACCATTACTATCACTAGCAACTAAGTGATTGAAAAAAGTCAAATTAAACAAGTGCTGATGTTCGTCTTACTTTTGTCAGTTCTTTGATGGCAGCATAATCCGAGACGTGGCATCCATTACAAGAGATCAATCATTTGAATGAAATCAGGAAATAGGCGTGAAATACGGTGCCTGCCTGCAGTACGTAACAATACATCGTTACCGGAGGTACTTTTACGTGACGTCGTCTTAGTACGGTTTCTTTTGGTTACTTTTGATCAAACGAATTTCAATATTTTCTTTTGTTCGCCTCAGATCAGGCAGAAAAGGGGGTTTTGCTTCTATCATCCATTTACCATTTGAAGTCTATGGAATTAAAAGCTACTATTTCATCATCTTTCCAACTTGTTTGAACGGTTTGCTTAATTCGTTGTTTATTTGCTTGGAAAATGGAAGTGATTTTAGTTGGTAGCCTGAAAAGTTTCAGGAATTCTTGTAAATGGGTTGCCAGGCGTTGTCATTAGTCTTTGTCACTCGCATGTTTTTTTTCTCGATCCCAAAATTGTTGAAGGCTGGGCTGCGACCAGAGCTAGAAGCTATGCTTGGCTTTATGAACTGCAACCTTATCCAGCATTAGTGTGACCCAAGAGTACATACTGGAAGAGTGAAAGTTAAGCTCACTTAATAGTACGTATTTGTGGATTTTTCAGTGTGTAGTCCCGAAAAAGACATTTACATCAAAAACCGGCTCTAGACTAACTCAACAGGTCTAATTTGTGTGTTCTCAGGAGGCGCTAAATTATAATACTGAGCGATTGCTGAGTGCAGTATATTGCCATTCAACTGCTTTGGCGTGAAGAGGAAAAATTAACGCTTCTCTGTGGCTATTCTCCGCTCCGAATGGTTTGCCGGGAAAAGTTTCTCGATTTTATGAATAATTATGATTACATAAATGAAGCTTTTGAATTCAGGGTCGCATTAATGCTGCGTTCACACTTTGGTCAGTGTTTTGCGCGAAAGCCAGCGTAGGTCAGCTTTTTGAGCGACTAGGAAAGTAAAGGTGTCGATCTAGGGCCTCGTATGCCGAAGTTTTGAGCTTTTGTCAGGTGATTTTGAACTTTCCCCGGGAACTCAAAAATGGCTGAAAGAGCTTTGCGCGGTACGCAACAAAGTTAGCTATAGTGTTTTATTGCTTTCTGTTCCATTTCGTGTCGTCTGCTCTAAATCGTACTCGTGAATATTTTACATCTGTATTCGTTTTTAGGGTATGCCTAGCAACCAAAATCTATACAGATACGTAGCAGTCGCTGCTGCTGTTGGAATTTCTGCAGCGGGTTTGTACTATTTGCTGTGGCGCAGGACGAGCTCGGTAAGACCATTTCAGATGGTTCCAAGCCAAACCTAGGTACTGCTGAGTTAAAAGTCACTGCTCTGCTACTTCTTTGCTTTGTGTCAATGTTTCATGCGGAATTTGAATTTATGGATCTTAAAGTCCCTGCAAACGATAAGGCGAGTGAAAAGGCATGAACTGGAGCATAGCCAGAACGGGTTTTCCCGCCAGTTGTTGCGGACTCGACTCAGACTGACATCATTGGTGAAAAAGGCCGTCCTGGCAGCGCTCCAATCCGCGCCCCATCCAACGCCCAATCATTTGCAAGGATTGCGACTGCATTTAATGATATTTGCTTTCGCTGTGATGCGCGGCGTATCAATTATGTATTCGAAAAGCTCTTTTGTATTCGACGGAGCATCAAACAATTGCTGACATTTTAATGTTGGCCCTGTACTGTGGGAGTGGCTGAATAATTTATTGCTGCAAATGAAATGCTGTTTTTTTACAGTTCCATTCAAATAATCCGTGCATTTTTCACACAATTTAGTTGGCGTTTGAAGGTTCTCATACTGCAACAATAACGAGGGGGTTTTCGTTCAACAGTCCAATGTGAAACACTAGGACGTTATGAAAACTCCCTTAGACCTTCACCGGTTTCTTCAAAACAAGACATTGATATGAAAACCTCTCTATGCGTTTTGGAGATACATTGACACCCAAGTTTTTGTCCTCAAGCAGCTGTTTCCTTCATTAGTAAAGCAGCTTCATATTTTGCGCCGAACTTTAGAGATGTATACTTCCATGCCGAGTCCGCGAAAAAATCTTTGCGCGAATCAAGAAATCGGCGAAGTAGTAAGACGGTTGCTGCTGAAATTCTCCACATCGACATGCACCACGTTCTTTTTGCGGATATAGCGATTTTCTTGTTTGATGTGGTCCAGTCATCATCTGATTGCTGGTGGTGAGCGGTTGCTCCCACTATCATTGGTGGAAGGACTGTGAGAGGGTCTGTGGCCATACCGTACCCTCTTAGTTCCTTGCTGCAGTGTGGCAACCAGGAGTTTCTTTCTACAGTGTCATGGAAGAGTCATTTCACTTCGATTTTTCAGAAAAAGAAGAAGAGCTTGTCCGTAAAGGAGTTAAAAGATTTGGGTAACAAACTCTTTGCCGCCAAAAAATATGCAGACTCCATTCGTGTGAGTTTCTTGACTACTTCTGATTTACGTGGTGTACTCTTTTGTCAGTTCTATTTTGATGGTTTTTACTCTCCATATCTTAGAGATGTGGAGGGTGTGGCTGCGTCTTCATATGAACGATTAGTAGTGTGCGTTGTTCGTGGGAATTTTTCAGTAGGCCAGTGTCCCTCTAAAAGCGCAGCCCATGCCACGTTCAAATGAACGCCGCATCACGCCCACTCCATCGCCGAGATATGGAGCTACATCTATGCATATTAACTGATTAATTCACAACGCTTCACTGTTTGCATTTGATTTCTCCTCGGCAGAAGGCTTCCTTGTTTGAGATTGTGTTGAACTATATGAAAATCAAGCCCATTTCCTATCCGTGCTACTGCCTACTGGCTGAGAGACCCGCCAAATGTACCACGAACATTTTTTCCCCTGTGTAATATGCCAGTTACATCGTTCTGCAAATCAACAACTGCAGCTAGCTTTTGAACTTTGTGTAATTCCTCATTATGCTTTTACTATTTAATGATGTGTTTAGATTTTTTCCAAGGCCATTGCTACGGGCGACAATGATAATTGCGACCTTCTCAAAGCGATGTGCTACCAGAACAGGGCTGCTGCCAAAGAGGTGATTGTTTCATAAGCGACCTAATATTTTTTCCGCTTTTTCTTAACTCTCACAGTTGTATTATAGCACCATGGCGGCTACAACGTGGATGATATGCTCAGCGATTGCGATCAGGCACTGAGCTGCAACCCTCGTTACGCTAAGGCTTACTTCAGAAGGGCACGTCTTCTCGAGATGAAGAAGGAGCACATGCCTTCCCTGATAAGTGTGTGAAACGTTTCAAGAAGTATATGTCCTTTACGTTTTTGACTTTGTATGTGTTGTTTGCAGGCTTGTTTTGTGCTACTCAGCTTGATCCCGCTCTCGATACTCAGTCAAGTCAACTTTTGCCTGTGCTGCTAGACGAACTGGAGAAACGAGCGCATCAGGAATGGCTTGATGATCCTTCAAATCGCGGAAATATTAAGCATGTCCGTCATGAAAAGGTCGGTATTTTGGGCCAGCTTTGCTATGAAATTTTCTGCACTAAACGTTTCGATGGCTTACGGTTTTAGGTCTACAGTTGGCTACATAAAACCGTGATGTCTGACTGTATTCGTCGTGACGTTCTCACTTTGCAGACTTCTGCCGACTCGTGAGCGTTTCATTCTATCAGAAGGGCGTCGGGATTGTCTTGAAAAAGTCCGCTCAATTTGTCAACGCTTATAAGTCATGATTCCTACAAACGATAGCGTTTCTGACGGGGGCGTAACTTGCATCGCAGCAGAACAGTCCTTCTCGCCGTTTGCTGCGGACCCGGGAGGGCATCCTCGATGGAAATGCTGCTTTGGCAGCACTCCAGTCCAGGCCCCCATCACACGCTCAATCGTTTCCAGGAGCCATGCCCGTAATTGCGGAAATAAGTGTGAACAGTTGTTAAGCAGGATAGCAGCTTTCCATAGGCATAATCTCTTTCCATCAAACAAACCCGGAGAGAACAGGGGCAAGACGTGGCCCATGCTTTCTCCATGTTAAGACTACTGTGAGCGCTGAGGCGTTTATGAAGAAGGTGGCTGGGTTTGGCGTCTGCCATAACATCTTTCACCAATTGTGGTCTTCTGCTGGCTTCCACAGTTGGTGGAAAACGGGCTGGCGCCGCGCCAAACACAGCCCCATGATACGTCTCGGCATCCGCAGACTCTATACGCTCATTGAAGGTTAGCTCGACTGAGCAAGAGCACCTGGCTAAACAGATAAAGTTCTAGGCCTTACGTGAAAGGCATTGAGTTGATCCGCAGCAAAAATTATGACGATGTCGCAGAAGTTGTTGTGCAAGAAAATGGATCATTTGTGATGGAGGCTCAGATCCTTGCAGCTCGTTTCTATTTCTATCGCAATCAGCTGGATTCAGTGAGTCATTTCAAAGCATTTTACCATACTATCGCTCTTATGGGGGTAGAGGTGGGTTTATTATGTCATATCATTATGATATCATAGCTGTTCCTATTTATCAATCAGAAAAGATTTTCGGGACCTGAGTTTAGTATTGTGCTTTAGTTTTCATCTTGTATGGATAAGTTTGATGCTTTGTATGGGGCGTTGTCTGATGAGGAAAAGGAAAAGAAAGAAGAATTGCTCATCGCAAAGCACATCCTCCTCATCGAATCAGGTCGTACAGCCGAGGAACTCAAGAAGTAAGCGCAGTTCTTACCTATTAGATGACTGAAAGTGTTGCAGTTCGCATTCTAGTCAACCAGCTAGGAACAAGTTTCTGGTTTGCCGCGATGTCGCGAATCGTACTTTCTGAGCGAAAACCCACACAAAGGAGAGCGAGCACACCCCATAATGCTGCGAGTGACAGCTCGGCTTTGTTTTGCCCGAGCAGAAGACCGTAAGACAGCTTTCAGACTTCGCGATGACGCTCGTCGCGCTGGAAGTCGATGCGCAATAGCGCGCGTCAACGCGCTGCATTTACAACAGGAAGCTCCGAAGCCATAGGCGCGAACGCAGTTGCCGATAGCCAGTCCCGATCGATAGCAGTCTGCGTGACTAGGCAACGGATACCATCCTATTCGCCACACACTCTCGAAACCAAGCGGTCTCCTTCTATCGATCAAGCGTTCTCAAGGGAATCGATCAGCGCCGGCCGCCTGCGGCCCCGTTCGCTTTTACAGCTTTGGAGCGCTATTGTAATGGTGTCTTCGCGAACTCTGAGCGCTGCCCTAATCTTGCTTTTTGCTCGCTTACAAGTGGGATGCTGCATCTTCGCTAATCTAAACGTGCTAATACTATGGAACACAAAAAATGCCATTTATCGCTTCTGCTTCAGGGCCTTGACAAGCGCCACTGAGGCATTCAAAAAACCGATTCCGGACTTCAGTGTCATGGCCGCCTTCCGCTACGTCCTTTGCAATGAGATATCCCAAGCAATGGACCTACTGTCTGCTGAAGAAGTGCCTACAACAAACATGAAGTAGGTGGACGCAACCCGGACGGTTTGTAGCAATCCTTCCAACAATAATTTCGTTTTCGTGCTTTCAGGTTACTGCTCCTCACGTTGCAAATCCTGAGAAATGCCAATCGTGAGGACAACACTCCTGACATGGCTTTGCTGCATAGTAACATCCTGCAGTTGGAGAATTTCGTTAATGGTCTGGAACCTAAGTCGGGTTACGCGTTATCGATTCTCGGGAAGGTTGCTTTTATTTCCATTTTCGGCACTCCTTCTACTGCCCCAGCCATCTGGAACCATTTTTTGAACGACTTTTTCTCCGTGGACAGATTTGGCTCGAATGTTGTCCTGGGGTAGTTTGACCTCCTGGATACGAATGCCACATTCGCGTAGCCCGAAACTTTCTGGCGTTTGCGCCACAGGCGCCGGTGGTTTGGGGTACTTTGGCGCCAGCGCCTATGACGCGGGCGCCAGGAAGTTACATGCCGAGTGGATGTGAATTTCATGTTCGTCAAACTACCCCAGGGAAAATTTTTTAGCCAATTCTGCCAACGCAGAAAAAAGTCGGTCAAAAACTGGCATGTTTTCGGAACATTGGGGCAGTGAAGGGTAAATAGTGTCCCATTCTCTCCTGATCGTTGATGTACAGGTGCTCGCCTATCAGTTTTTTAGAAAAGCAAGTTAGAAAGTTAGAATTTTTTAGAATCTTTTAGAATACACATCTGATTTCTAGATAACTGCTACGTTTAGCAGCGATGCCGCTGCTCGTAACATTTCTGATGAAATTCTGAAGATGGAGCCGGGAGAGTCTATTCATTACTTTGACCGAAGGTGATCTTTGATGAGACTCAGTTTTTTTTGTCCATCATTTCACTTTATGATGCGATTCATTGCTTTAGCTGCATGTCTTCATCTGGAAAAGATGCCATGGAATACCTCGAAAAATGTATGGAAATTGAGCCGTTTCACCCTGAAGCTAATCTCATGTTTGCTAGCTTGATGATGAATGAGATCGGATCAAGGGCGGTTACGCCGTGAGTGTGAAATTTGTAAAGTATTTTTTTAATTATTCAAGGTGCTTGTTCGGCTTACGTTTTATAATGTTTGTGGGAAGGTAATCGAAATTCGGATGCTAATTCGAGTCCAAAACGTAGCCAATAGCAAATACTCTAGTGAGATCCATGAGATTCCCTAAACGGTCGACAATGACTTTTCGAATCTCATCGGTAGTGATGATCCCTGCAAGCCTTGCAGTGTGCGAAGAGGCGTGGCTTGGAAGCGCCGCGGCTAATGCCGTTTGGACTCCAGCAACTTCGGCACCGAGCTCATTTTTAAATTGCCTAAGTTACCAAATCCGCTAAAAACTTGTATGTAGGGGTAGTTTAACATCCTGATTACGAATATGATATCCGCTGGCGCTAATGGATGACATTACGATTACCTGCGCTCCGCTAAGGCTGAACCCAAGAGGTAATCGTAGTGTCATCCCTTGGCGCCAGCGCCAAGAATGAGTGTCATAATTGTAATCAGGATGGTAAATAACCCTTTTGTACATATTTAGCGGGTTTGGCGACTTAGGTAGTTTAAAAATGAGCTCGGTGCCGAAGTTGCTGGAGTCCAAACGGCATTGGCCAAGCGCCGCCAGACACACTCCCCGCCAATTTTTGCGGACTAGGAATAACATCACTGGTGAAGAAAGCCTGGCAGTGTTCCAGTACACGTCCCGTCACACGCCCTATCTTTAGCAGGGATCGTGACTATATTTGATGACATTTCCATACGCTTGTGATGCGCGTATCTCCTTTTATTCGAAAAGATAATTTGTGTTTGCCGTCAGATATCAGGCAACTGTTGACAGTTCTATTTTGACCCTGTAGTGTGGACGGAGCGTGGGGTATGCCTCGAATCACAGCCCTGATCAGATTCCACATTACTGTATCGGACTTGGGATGGCATCATTGGTCCAAAAAGGGAGCCCATGGCTACGCTGAAATCCGCGTCGCGTCACACACCCTATCGTCTGCAGGGTCTATTACTGTAGAGTCGGGGGATATAGTGTTGATGAAGCGTTTTTGACCTCTTTGTGATTATCGAACTGTCAAAGAACACTGCGCTTATGCTTCAAAATGTGGGGAATTACTGAAGAGAGAGGAAGATATGGTGAATAAAGTGAGTGCAGTATACACCATCGCTATGTGAATATCATCAGGGGCTTGGCGCTGGGCCGAAGGGTCTATTTGGCGTGGCAGGATTTTTTTTCCGGCTCTGAATGTCTCCCATTCAAAGCGCCTCATGTCTCCTTTCTCGTAATCGAAAATTCAGAAATTTCGGGTAGGAGGCGAATATATTGAGTGGTAGTGTTCGCTGTTGTAGGTTATGAAAGGGAACTCTCCCATACCCTCCTCTGGAGATCCTGCCAAGTCCGTCTTACATATCCCTATGTTGTACAGTTTGTATCACAGTCAGTCGAGTCCGTTTTAAAGACAGCCCCCGCGCTCAAGTAGTCCTTGGTCGTCCTTCCTTGTGCAGGTAGTTCAGCCCCCAAGCTAGATGCTACCCTACTCTCGCAACTCCACAGAGAGCGAGGAGCGAGCTACAGCCGCTCAAAGTTCTAGTTCTAACGCCCGCTCAGTTGGACTGCGTCACTTGCAAGCTGCCCTCTGACGAAGAGCCGCTCAGTTGTTACTTGTGGCGGCGGCAGTCATTTGATCGGAACTGCATGTATTTTTGCTGACCGCGCTCGTGCTCGTAAATAATTCTGCTCTCCTTCATCACATATTATTCACTGAGACGAGTACAGTCACATCAACCCATCTCGTAAGGTAAAACGCGTAAAAATCACGAATGATGCAATTTTCTGTGGGAAAGCTCGACATGCACCAAAAACTGCACACTGCAATAACCCCAAATTTGACGCCAAGTTTTCGAATTTTCCTTTTTTCTAAGTGTTTGTCGTTCGTGTCTTTGTTGTTTTTCATATTCTTTTCTTTGAATTGGGTGTTGCTCACTGCTGGGTAACGCCATAAAGCGATTTGTAAGCCAGGGGTTGCCCACGGACCGCAGGGCGGTGTAACTGTAAGGGAGCAATTTTGTTTGTGGTGTTCTTGAGGGCTCTTGTTGCTTTTTTCCTTCATTGAGGAATTACTTATCAGCTACTGTTTCATAATTGATAAGCAATTATCTTTGACACTTTTATCGCGGGAGCTGTTTTTAAGAGGAATGGGCTGACCCCAGCTGCGGCGTTGCCACCACTGGTTGTTTTCTTCCGAATCGGTCGCTAGCCGATCTTCATTGGCAGAGCAACGCAGCCAGAGGCGGGCTCATCCCACCCTCCTAACTATGCCCTCGACTCATTGCGATGTTACAAGCTATATGCCGTGTGGGTGACTAAGAATTCCTCGTCCAGATCGATTATTTTCATGGTTTTCGAGAGAGTGAACAAAAATTGTTCGCAATCCTTATCTTGTTTCCCATACTCCAACTTTTACTTGGAATGAATGATTAACAATTAAGGAACATATACAAGGGAAGAACTTATATCGCTCATTTTCAACTAAAAATTTCGTATAATTCACAGAATAACTCCTGAAATCAAATATTTCTATTTAGATTACCTTACCATTAACCTAGTACTATTATTCTGACGCTATTCTAATCACCTCAGATGGGAGATGTCATAGTTTCTATTTGCAGCGATGAATATGAAAGAATCGACAAGCACATAAATGTGGCTTTGTCGACATTTGATGATAATATCGACTTCCCAGTGATTCTGGCTGTATTCCGTCTTCGTGAAGTTCTGACGGCTAAGAAAGAAGCCGCTCGTATCCTCACTTGAATTTTAGTTTTACTGGCATAGTTTTTACCACATTGTGATGATGGAGATATATTTTGTTTGGTACCATATTTGTTGTTTTCATTTGTCTAATATTTTTATCGTTTCTGAAACCGGTCTAGTTCCTTATTGCTTGGAGCTTGTTTTCCTTCATTGTTCTGAGCCATTCATTTCGTTCGTCGTTGAAAGTACGTGCACTCTTTCATATTCACCTGTGAAGAGAGTATTTAGTTGTTGTGTTTTATTAAAAAAATATAGTGCTAGAATATTTAATGAGAGATTCCCTCCATCATGTGAGATGTGGTCCAGCGCTTATTGTTGACGTTTGCGCAGTATTTTTCATGTATACTTGACCGTCCTTTTTTACCGAGTTTTGTTGTCCAGGTGTTGCTTTTCGACGGTGTCTTTGGTTGTCCATCAATTGTGATTTATCAGTGAGAGCAACACTAGTCCACAACGAGAACTATATTCTGATGTGTTCAACAAAGAAATTTGTTTATCTATTGGAAGACTGTACATTTCCACAGGCGACTTGATATGACGAATGGTACAACATATTTGAACGTGGTGATTAGGGGCAATGTATACGACTGCTGGAGGCGGGCAGTAGTTGCCAAGGTCACTGATGGAAGGGCTGGGAGGGCTTTTGGCTACACCCTACCTAACCCTTCCAGAAGTGAGGTTGGCGACAAGCGCCTACCCTCAGCAATCGCCCTCACTGTATTTACTTTTAACCGTGGACATGCGATTCCACCACCAAGGCGCCTCGCACTATACATGGTGATATACAAATGGACCAAATAGTGAGCAGTGCGGTCTGCGGTTGCACTGCCCCCTCTAAGAGAACGCGCTTTCGCCACCCTTACGCTGAACTCTCTCTCCTCTCTCTCTCTCTCTCTCCTTTCTCTCTCTCTCTCTCTCCCCCTCTCTCTCTCTCTCTCTCTCCTCTCTCTCATCTCTTCTCTCCCTCTCTCTCTTTCTCTACTTGTAGTCGCAGGAGTGAACCCTTCTGCCTTTCCATAGTATCGCGTTCTTAGTGAGTCTGCTGCCGGTTGGGTTCCAAAGAGAGGCAGTGTGGGATGGAGAATACTTGTCAATGTCGTGAATTACGTGAGAGCATAAACTTTTGTGCGTAGACCTGTTGCGAAACCCGTACGCAAGAACAGTGCTTGCCAAGGCATCGAAATGAGCCTTGGCAGACACTGTTCTTGCGTACAGGTGGTCGATGATTGGGTGAGCCACTTCTCATTTGTGAAACGGTGGAATGTGTGGAATTGGAGCGACCGGTTGCAGTGGTCCTTACATGCTCTCGCTGCTGGGATTAAAGGTATTTTCTCGTAGCATATACCGGCCCACCCAGCAGTTGAAGGGAGATGGAAAGGAGGAGGGGAGAGAGAGAAGAAAGGAGGGAAAAGAAGGAAAGAGGGTGGGAAAAGGGAGGAAGAGAGCTTCGCAACTTACAAGTGTCCTGAGGCGCGCACTGACCATGGAATGCCAAACAGAGAAATACAGAAAACCGATGCGATCGAAGGGGTTAAGCTCAGGTTGCCGTTATCCGTAGACGCGCAGTCGTGCAAGTCATCTTTTCTGGAAGCAGGACAGTCATGCTGGTTCTCCCTTAGGTTATACCTTGCATTCCAGCGAGTAGCGCGTGAACTGGCAAGCCATATTTTCGATATCACACTGTTTTGAAGGGTTTGCACTTGCATTCATTCAAGACGGCCTCATCATCAGGAGTGCCATCCTAGGTCTGCAACAACTGACGGGAAGGTTGGTTTAGCTGCGGTCCAACTCACGCTACGCGACACGCCCTATCGTTTGCAGGAATCATGACTGTAATGGCAAGGTGGCAGAGAAGCGCAGGACAACGCACGTGAAAATTTTGGTCGATGTTTTCGCCTTTTTTTGCATGCCTCAATAGTTCCCAATGGTTTTTTTCGAAATTGTTATCCGACGACTTGGAACCAATTTGAAATTATGAAATTACCTGCCGAAAAAAATGTTGAGGGTCTAACAGTATGAAACCAGCAGTTGATGAAGTTATCGAAAACTACGCGACAGGAAACTAAAACACTTCCGTGCCCAACTTTTACGGTTTTCGCAATGAAGATGCGGCTTATACGCACGAGTGATGTTTCTGTCGAAGGTGGAAACAGCAAGTGACCTTGTCCATTGTTCGGCTTATCGTAGACGTCAGACGTTT